CATTTTAAACTGTATAGAAATGGAATCAAGCTCATACAACCTTCTGCACTTTGCTATTTTTGCTCAAGACTATGTCGTGAGCTTTGTCCATAGCAGTATACAGCTCTGATTCATTCATTTTAATTGCTATGGAATATTCCATTTGAAGTTAGACTGCAATTTACTTTTCATTCTCCCTTTGAGGACATTCAGAGTATTTCCTTAGCTTTGCTATTACAAACAATGCTAAGACAACCATGTTCTATAGTCCTCTGTGCCCATGCCTGAGTTTCTCCAGTTTCCTTAGGTTTGAATTGCTGAGTCACACATATGTGCTTTTTTTACACAAACAGCTCTCTCATGAGCCAGTTCATACCCCATCAGCACATCGAAGAGTCTGTTAGTGTTCATCCGTGTCAGCGCTGGGTATTGTCAGAATTAGTATTTGCCAGTTTTCTGGGTGAAAAGCGGTATCTCATTATTTTATTTCACATTTTCCTGTTTTATTGATCATGTGAGAGGTTTCTCACATTACCAGGTAAGGTGTCAACCCTTTTATATAAATCCATGGGAGACCAAGAGAATTGATGCTGTTTGAATCTGAAGGGAATGTTAGTAAAACCATCTTCCTCTCTCACTTTTTTCCTTTTTCTTTTTTTTTTATTTTTTTTATTTTTTTATTTTATTTTATTTTATTTTTTTTTAATGTTTTATTTATTTTTAGGAGAGAGAGAGAGAGACAGCGTGAGCAGGGGAGGGTCAGAGAGAGAGGGAGTCACAGACTGAAACAGGCTCCAGGCTCTGAACTGGCAGTCAGCACAGAGCCCGACGCGGGGCTCGAACCCACGAACCATGAGATCATGACCCAAGTGAAAGTCGGACGCTTAACCGACTAAGCCACCCAGGCGCCCCACTTTTTTCCTTTTTCCTTTCCTTTTTCCTTTCCTCATTTCCTTTTTCACTTAACTCTCTCTTCCCTCTTCTTCCTCCTCTCTACTCCATTCCATCCTCAAAACACAGTTCTTAAATAGTTGACCAATACAGCATAGGACACGATGAGACTATTCATAAATAGGAGACTACTTGGGAGAAAGGAATGCAAAGAAAGCTGGGGGCGATACTGATACACAATACAAAATCCCTGCCTCACAGTTGTGAAAGATAGGCTATCATTTTGATTTGGAGCTTCCTGACAGTCCACGCTAAAAGGGAAATGTGATCAGCTGACAGATATGCAGAACTCCAGATAAAAGCGAAGCAGCTGCCCTGGAGAAACACAGAGTTTCCTGGCATTGGGACCAAGAGAGACTGTTCCCGTGAGTCATCCTTATGGGGACACGGGGTGATGTAGAGTCAACTTTTCACCACAAACCTTTTTCCATACTGTTCGCTACACCATTGGATTCCACTGAGTGGATTGCCAGAATGGCTCGCTGGATACTTGGCATTCCCCACCCCCGCCAGTGTTTTGCCCTGGTAATATTGTAGGGAGCACCTGGAGGCAAATAGATTTTGGCTTCTGTTGTGTTGCCTCCTCGATGCATTTCTCCACATCAGGCCAGGAGCCCCTTCTGTCTTGGTACAAACGGTGCTAGTGCTTTCTGAGTGGATCACCCCCACTCGTGAGTTGCCAACCCTGGAGAGGACTAGACCAGCATCTTCTGACTTAGTGGTCAAGGATTCTGAGATCTAGCTTTCACCACTCTCTCTATGCAAATGCCAAAGACCTCTCCCTCCCTCCCCAACCCTGCCCCCTTGCCCCCACTGCCCTGGAAGGAGGCCAGGCCGGTTCTTGCCCCAGCCACTTCCTCAGCCGTGTTCACTCACTCCCAAGTCCCCCTTCATTCTGGCGCCCAGTTCTCTGGGCCCCTGAACAGTTAAGACAGCTGGGTCTTGCACTCTCAGAGAGGAAGTAGGTCCCTGTGCTCAAGATTTCTCGTGGCCTTTCCCTTGTCTCTTGTAAAGGAGCATCTGACCCAGACCTGACTCTTAATTTTAAGATTACTTAAAATAGGGGTGCCTGGGTGGCTTAGTCGGTTAAGCGTCCGACTTTCGCTTAGGTCATGATCTCGCGGTTCGTGGGTTCGAGCCCTGCGTCGGGTTCTGTGCTGACTGCCAGCTCAGAGCCTGGAGCCTGTTTCAGAGTCTGTGTCTCCCTCTCTCTCTGACCCTCCCCTGCTCACGCTGTCTCTCTCTCTCTCTCTCTCCTAGAAATAAAACATTAAAAAAAAAAAAAGATTACTTAAAATAAAATCTTCAGGGGTGCCTGGGTGGCTCCCTTGGTTGAGCGTCCCGGCTCTTGATTTTGGCTCAGGTCATGATCCCATGGTCATGGGATAGAGCCCTGTGTCAGCTCAGTGTGGAGCCTGCCTGAGATTCTCTCTCCCTCTCTCTCTGCCCTTCTCCCCTGCTCATGCTCTCTCTCTAAAATAAAATAAAATAAAACTTTAAACAAAATCTTAAAAATAAATAAAAATAAAAAATATTCAAATGCAACCAATTATGCCCTATAAAATCAATCGACAGCATCTAGGGTGTTTGTAGATTTATCCATCCTTTGCAAGGATTCTGGGCACCTTCTCCCCACAGTTTGAGGCCAACAGGCTGGGAAACACTGGTAAGTTCACAATAGATGCAAATGGGACATTTCTATGTAAAGGGGTCACTGGGGGTTAGACAGTGCTGTATGCTGACCTTTCTCAACTGCCTCACTGCCTTCCTTTAACTGCCTCACTGGAGGGTCACCCCTTGCCCCAGAAATGGCTTCTTTGGACCCAGGAAGAGGAGGCAGAGAGGGTCCCAGGCTTTTGGGAGGGCACAGAGAGTGTCAGGACACGTGGGAAGAGGGCAGGGATAAGCATGAGACCCATGTGAGGACAGTGGGCCATTGGCCTGAGGGGCAGCACAGGGCAGGGATTCGGGCTCTGAGCTTTGGAGTCGGGCAGAGCTGGGCTCCGTCTCCAGCAACATCACGTACTGTCTATGCCCCGTCAGGCGAATGACATCTCTGAGCCTCAGATGTCTCATCTGCAAAATGGAGACACTGCAAAACCTTCCTCCTCTAGCCTTATGGGGCCGTGCTGTAACAACACAGAGCATGGCATAGACTAAAACCTGAAAAAGAAAAAAAAAAAAGAGGGAACTACTAGTAATATTACTAATTAGTAGTAGTAGCATCAGCAGCAGCCCCAGCAGTAAGAACATAAACAAGAAGGGAGAGTCTAGGGCACAGGAGCTCTGTAGGCAGGTGGTGAGGGGCACTGTCACAGATCCCGGTGGGCCCGGGAAAGCAGGTGGGCAGGGGGAGGGCATTGTAGTGCAGGGTGCCACACGACTTGAGAGGCAGGAGGCAGGGTGAAGAGGACACCAAACAGGACAGGAGACCCACACCGTGAGCTTGCTTACGAGCTTCTGAAAGCCTGCCTATCTCCCCACCGCCCACCGCCCGGCTGCTTCCTCCTGCCCTGGCAATAGCAGGTTGGCGGGTGGGTGCTGAGCTCCCTGCAGGCATCCCACCCCTGGAACCCGGGACCTGGGGAAGCTGATTTATGGACTTTTTTTTTTTTTATGGAGTCTTGAATCAGCCCAGCATAAAGGCCCACACGAAGAGGGCTGTGGGAGCAAGAAGCCTTTCCCCATGTCCCTGCCCAGTCCTGAGGCTGGCCACAGAGCCCCCAGACCCAGAGTGAGGGTATACAAGGCTTTATTGGCTCAGTTCCAGGCGTTCGGCATCAGTGTGGGGCTCTCAGCTGCTCCCGGGCTCTGGCTCGTCTGTCTTCTCTCAGGGGGTCTTCAGGGGCCTGCGAGTCCGTCTCAGCTGCTTCACCTCCTTCCACCGCCCCTCCGATCGGGGGCCATCCTCCATGGCAGACCGTACTCACAGAGTCCAAGGGGCCAGGACCTTCCCTCCAGGAAGAAGGGATGTGTGTGGCAGCATCTCACCACAGGAGAGAAAACAGGCCTGCAATTGTGTGCCAGCCCTGCTGGGGGGAAGGGGCGTCTCCATCCGTGGTTAGGTGGCTTCAAAGGGGTGGTAGGTCTGGTGGCTGCGGTTGGGCAGGCTGTGGCTCTGGTGGCTCAGGTAGCTTGGATGACCCTGGTGGCCATGGTGACCGTGGCCATGGACGGTGTGTGTGTGGTTCGCGCCAGCTACAGCAGTTTCCCGCTGGGTGAGGAAATTCCCTTTCAGCTTCAGCTCCACCTCCTCGAGGGCCTTCAGCTCCTCCTGGTTGATGTCTCTGGACTCCAGGTGGCCCGAGTTCTGGTAAACTGTAGCACGCTGCAGCATGGAGTTAGCCAGCCGCTGCCCTATGGTGTCAATCTCCTTGGTACAGGCAGCCACAGCGGCCCACGTGGCCTCATCTGTGGATGAGGATTTCGCAGACTCCTTCTGGGTCTCTTTGGTCACCGAGGACCCAGACACCCTCTGCTTGCTGCTGAAGGACTCCCGGCGCAGGGCTGTGCCCGCTTCTCCTTGCCTCGTGGTGAAAGTCTCCACGCGAAAGGTGGTGCTGGCCTCTCCTCTGCCGCTCTCGGGTGGTGGGGCGGCCGTGCTGCTGCAGGCGGCCAGCTTCTCTTCCGAGAGGCGGCTAAAGTGCGATTTAATCCAGTTCTCATTCTTTGCTTTGTGACATTCCAGTGGCTCCTGCACGTCTTGTGCAGTCTCAGGGGATGCCTTCCTTCTCCTTTTCCTCTGAATCCACAGCATGAGGCCTCCGCCGCCGAGTAAGAGGGCGGTCCCCAGCACCACCTTGCATGATGGTTGCTGGATGAGCTCCAAGAAGGCCGCCAGGACCCTAGGCCAGGCAGGCAGAGCTAAGGGCACACTGGGAGTGGGGGAGCCCGGATGGTGTGGTTCATGCTTGAAAGGGCGGGTTCCCAGAGGCTGGCTGGCAGGTAGGGCCCCAGCTGTACCCTCCCCAGGATGCCCCTCCTACCTCAGCAATGAGCCCTATTGTGAGGAAGGTGGTTGGGGGGAGGGGGGCAGGGTGGGAAGAGGCCACCTGGTAGGCATTTCCTGCGGCCCAGGTCCTGTCTCCCATCCTGACAGCTAGCCCCAAGGTCAGTGGAAAAGCAGCTTCTCCAATTCTGAGTCCCTTCTGTCTTCTCCTTAAGACCCATTCTGCAACTCAATCTTCTTATTTTCCAATCTCTGGTTTCTCTCCCTCTCTATCCTCCACCACCTCCCCCCCCACCGGGGAGCCACTGACCGTGGCTGAAGGACCCCCTTGGCTGGGCTGGCATCCATCCCCGGCTGCCTGATGCAGGCGTCTCCTTCCATTCAAGGTCCACCCCTGCTGCCAGCTTAGTACATTCCATCCCCATTTGCAGCCCCAACCACCTGAACGAAGCAGAGTCAAGAAGGAAAAGGACCCAGGGAAGAGCTCATTCTAGAATTACATGAAGTTATAACTGGGGAGAGACAAGCAGTGGGTTGAGAAGGCAGAGCAGATAGGACAGAGGACTTCACCAGACCCCAGATCTCAGGGGCTACTCCAAGATGGGGGCTGTTAACCTCTTGCCTTAGTGAGGCACCTGCAAACCCAGGATTTGGCCCCCTACCCCCTGTGCCCTGGGCACAGTTTAGATTGTGAGCAGGGGAGCCACCTGGCCAGGCTCTCTGTGGGTACAGACAATGGAGAGCCTGGCCCACAATTCGAAATTATATCAGAGCCTCTCGGGGGAGAAACAGGCCTGGGCCACTCTATTTTTCTTCCAGAGGCATCTAACACATTTAAAAATATATATATTTAATTTAAAAAATTTGTTGAGTGTTCATTTTTTTGAGAGAGGGAGAGGGGAAGGGGCAGAGACACACAGAGAGAGAAAGAGAGAATCTGAAGCAGGCTCCAGGTTCCAAGCTGTCAGCACAGAGCCCAACACAGGGCTCCAACCCACAAACCGTGAAATCATGACCTGAGCGGAAGTCGGACGCTCAGCCACCTGAGTCACCCAGGGGCCTCAGTATATTTCACTTTTTTAAAGTGAAGAAATACCAAAACAGGGTTGTAAAAATTGTGATTTTAAAAAAAAGTGCACTTATTTATATATTTAGTAATCTCTACTCAATGTGGGGCTGAACTCATGACCCCAAGATCAAGAGTCATGTGCTCCTCCGACTGAGCCAGCCAGGTGCCTCTAAATTGTGATTTCTTTTTAAACAAAATATTTTATTTAACAATGTAATGGCTTCAATATATACAATAATATCACAGTCTGCATACTAAGGGAATAAGATAACAAGCTCACAGTATTATGGGTGACACCATCTCTCTAGTCCTGCTGAAGTAGCTCTGTGGTCATCCACTCACCTCATTTGGAAATAACAATTCAAAGTTCATCTTTGAGGTTGTTTGTGGGAGTGCGTTCAGAACCAAATGGCCCCTCTGCAACGATTTTACTCTCTAGTCTCTAGTTACAACTTTCACTTAAGAATGATACTCTTTACTCATATAATCAGGAAAAATTAACAATGCAAAAATAAGTATAAATAAAGAGAGCTATACAGTTTGAGGCAATACCTTCTAGAAGAATCTCTAACTGTTCACTGATTCATCAAGGGTAGGTTCCTGCCTCCTCTTTGGAGGACCTTTAACTTGTTACAGGAGGCCCGGCAGTGTGGCACGTGACAGCTTCCTCCTCTGCCCCTGTGTGTTGGGCCACAGAGCCAGCCCTGGGGGCCCAGATAGGGCCAGAGAAACATTGTTTGTGCAGCTAAAGTTGCTCACGGCAACTTTCCCGGGCACTCTGGCTGTGTCCTGGGAGCAGTGACAGGACCTGACACAGCCCACTGCCTCCCCGGTGTGTGGGTAAGAGAGAGATGAGGCGGGAGCAGGAGCCTGTATGGGTTGCATGGGAAACAGGTTAGCAGGCACCTGTGGCCCTCGGCCTGCCACATCTACTGCAGCCTGTGCTCCTGGGCACCTCCATGCCCTCTGCAGGAGTGGGTGAGTGGGCAGGAGGAAAGGAAGGCTCCAGAGAAGAGCCTGTGGGTGTCTGTGGATTCTCTGGGGAGCAGGCAGATACTGGATACAAATGTTCACCCTCCCCAACCCCTTGCACTAGGGTGTCTTTGAACCTGGAAAGTGAAGACGAGTCTTGTCTTCCCTCCTCTTAAGATTCAAGGAGCTAGGGGTGCCTGGGTGGCTCAGTCAGTGGAGCATATGACTCTTGATCTTGGGGTCCTGAGTTTAAACTCCACATTGGGCGTAGAGATTATTTTAAAAAATGTTTTTTGTTTTGTTTTGTTTTTTTTAATAAATAAAAGATTCAAAGAGCTTCTGACTTTGCTTCAAGAGACCCAGGCCTCGGTCCAGACTTTCAGGCCCCAGTGAGCTGAGCCCAAGTAGAAATTTACTTAGAGTTTGTGTCCCTGCTCAATGTGGGCCTACACAGGGCATTCACTGTGCCCTAGGGAAGGGTCACATCACCTCAGCACTGATATGGGGTTTCAGTCAGGCCAGCAGTCACTGTCATAAAGCAGCTTTGCCCACAATGCCAATGGTGCTGTCATTCTAGCAACTGTTACCACTGGATCAATAGCTTCTAAGGTATATCACTCTTTACTATTTATAGCATGCTTTCATTTGCACTCTCTTCGATTTTTCTCCCAGCCATCCTATGAGGTAGGCCTTATTACTCCCATGTGTCAGATGGGGAGACTGGGGTTCAGAAAGATTATCTCAAAGCTAAGTCAGTGGCAGAGCTGTGATTTGAATCTGGGCTCTCTTCCCCACTGCTCTGCCTCAGTCAGAAGCTCTCCATCCCCGAAGCTGGTGCCAACCAGACTTCATTGGTTGAAACAGTCTGGTCTGGCGATTCAGCGGTTAGTGCCAGTGGAGTGAAACCAAGCATGGTCCTGCAGTCAGACCTGGGGAACTTGGGCAAGTGACTGTGTCATCCTGAGCCCCAGCTTCCCATCTGTGAAATGGGGCTAGTGAGATTACTGTCTCAGGCACTTGTCATGGGTGATAGATGAGGGTGGGCAGGGCAGGATGGGAGGAATTGACCACTTCTTTCCTTCAACTATTGTGCTTGTGGCTGTGTTGTGTGTTGAGTGTCACAAACATCTGGTCCCGGACCTCAGAGAGGGGAGATCCATGTGTAAAGAGAGACATGAGTTAGAGGATCCAGAACAGGAATTCTGCCAAGGGAGGCTCGGCCCAGAAGCGAGTGTGCAAACACAGCCTTTAGGGTGATGTGCCCACAGGCTGAGGTGCAATGTGACGTCCCCAGCTGCCTTCCCAACTTCACAGTGTCTGGTTGACAAGGACTTTTATACCCATTATCTAGTTTGATCCCCACAATAATGCTGGGCTAAGGCAGCACTTTGGCAGTGAGATTCAAAGTTGCAAAGCAGCAAGGAGCTTCCAGCCTGTCTCCTGACTCCAGACCAGTGCCCCCTGCTCCTCTCCCGTAATAAAACAACCACCAGGGGACCCAACTGTCTCTGAGCAGCTCACTGGCTGAGGAGACTGGGGTCATCCACATCTCCCCCAAGTCTCCCGAGAGGACAGGCCCCACTTACCTCGGAAGGGGAAGGTACCCAACTTGTGCAGATTCTCCTCCAGTTTCCCATAGTCTACCTCCGCGGTGGTAGTGAAGGGAGTGGTCACAGGGGGGTAGAGGCCTGTAATGTCCATCTTCCTCCCCTCTCCTGAGGCCCAGCCCCCCACATTTCTGGACAAGCCCCTGCTCAGCCCCTGCCTCACGGAAGACCAGACTCCACGGCCCAGCATCTCTGCAAGAGGCCCGAGGCCCAGCTGGTCTCTGCCCCTGAGTGAGGCTGAGTTTGGACTCCTTCCTACCCTGTTAATGATCAGTGTGTCTAGTTAAAAATTTGCTGCCCCCTGAGTGTTGCGCTGGGGCAGGCCTGGGCTGGGCGTCCCCGGGGTCAGAGGCCAAGCCTCTAGGCCCCATGGGTCTCTCCCTGTAGGGAGAAGCTGGAGTAAAGCCACAACCCAACGTCCCAATGGCAGAGCGGGTGTTCCTGGGGCACCCACCCTAAAGGGCTTCTCCAGTGGGGCTTGGGCCCTCCTCCCACAATCCCCAGCCCCAAAGCCAGGAACACCAACTTCCGCTCCGCGCCTGGCGGAGCTGATTGGCTGAGCCCGCCGGCCCGCTGGAGGCGCGACTGGGGAGAAACTGCCAGTAAAGCGCTGCTCTCCCAGGCCCTTGAACCAACGCCAGGCTCCTCCTGCGCGCTGGCTGACACGTGACAAGCCTGTGGTGGCCCCACAGCCCCGTAGGACGGCGGTCACCGGGACGGAGGAGGGGGAGGGGCGGGATGGGTGCATCGGGAAGCTGATCCCCGCTGGGGCTTTGGGAAGAGAGCTGGCAGGAAAGAAGCAAGAAGACACCTCTGTAGGAAACGCACCAGGGCTGGGGCCAAAGGGCTCCAAGTCCCCCCTCTTCCCCGAGCCTACCTTGCTCCAGAGTTTTCCTTCATTCCTAAACACTTCGGATACAAATGGAAACAAACATCACCAACAGCAAAAACGATTTTTTTTTTAAATTTTTTATTGCGGTGACTTGTGGGTGTCCGGGTCGTATGCAGAAGAATGGCAGAGTCGTCAGCTTTGGGGGCCATTACGATGACCCTCAGGCTGCACTCAAGGGGCAGCCCGGTGCCCGGCTGGCCCGGGGCAGGTGTCTACTGGACTGGCACCGGCTGGGGGGTCTCCTGCGCACTCTCAGCAGGACCCTCCAGCCCGTTCTGCTCCGCCCCTGTCTCTGGGTGCGCCAGAGCCTGCCGGGTGTCAGCCTGCCACAGCTGCACCAGGTCCGTGGGGGTCTTTCCTGCCTGGGGGAGCCAAGAGGACATCCTGTCACTGCTATGTTTGTACCAGGAGGTGCCCTCATTCTATACCAGGGCTTCCTGCTGGAGGCTCTGGGCAGTGTCATAGGTTGATTTACTGGCATAGGGTGAACAGAGGCCGGGGATGCTACTTAAAAAGCCTCCAGTACACAGGACAGTCACCACAACAAAGAATTATGCAGCCCCACATGTCAATAGTGTTGTTATTCTATTATTATTCTCATCTATTCCTCCCCACATCGTCCTGACTTTCCCACTATTCCCTTAGCCTTTCTTGAGTCAGGGGGACCCTCCCACCCCCCCTTTTTGCTATTATACTGGGCCCCAAAGAAGAGCTTGGACTAGGGGATATAGGACCCTACGAGAACTCCAGGCCTGCCAGGCCAACACTGTGCTTAGTTAGGTTCCTTCTAGCCCTGTCCCTCCATGATTTTGGCCTCCCTGGGCCTGGACTTTAAGGCCCCCTTTTGGGGGGCCTTTGGGAAGTCCTCTTACTGCCCCTCCTGCAGAGACAAGCATAGAGGGAGTTGGGAAGGTGGGTGGGCTCCAAATCCCTGGGACCCCAGAGAGACTGTCCACTGTGAGGATGCTCCAAGGGTAGGCTGAGTCTGGCTCAGCTCCTTGGAGGAATCCAAGTGCCTGGCACAGAGCCTGGGGGAGCCATGCACACTGATTACTGAATCCTGGAAGGAATGAACTTACCAGGTTCTTGGTCATCATGTCAGCCCCATGCAGGAGCAGCAATTTGATGATTTTGTAGCGGTTGAGCCTCACAGCATCGTGCAGGGCACTGTCCCCTTCCTACAGCCAGTGTGATACTCAGTATGGCCCATGGGGGCGTGTGGGAGCCCTCAGGCTGCCTGCAGCCCCTTGGCATAGCTGAGCAGAAGGGAAGCTGAACACTCACTCTGTCTTTGGCATTGATGTCCAGGCCCAGGGACAGAAAGTGCTGCACAATCTCCACGTGCCCCGTCCGGACTGCCACGTGCAGGGGAGTACTCAGCAGCTGGGTGGGGAGGACACAGGAACTGCTGGCTGAAGGAGCCTGGACTGTGGTGCCTCTGGGAGGGAGGCTGTCTTAATTCCAGCCTCATCCCTTCCCCAAGTACTAGTGCCAAGGCCTGACCCCTGGAGGGGCTGGGAACGCTACAGTTTCCACCATCCTATGCAATGGTTTAACTCTGAAGTATTACATGCCACCTTCTCTGGGAAGCCTTCTGTGGTTCCTCTCTCACCCACCTGTGAGCAACTGCCCTTCTTTTAATAATTATAATAGATGTGGGGTACCTGGGTGGCTCCATCAGTAGAGCATGCAACTCTTGATCTCAGGGTTGTAGGTTTGAGCCCACTGTAGCACATAGACATTACTTTTTAAAAAATTTTAGGGGCACCTGGGTAACTCAGTCAGTTCAGTGTCTGACTCTTAATTTCAGATCAGGTCATGATCTTGCAGTTTGTGGGATTGAGCTCTGCGTTGGGCTCTGTGCTGACGGCTTGGAGCCTGTTTGGGATTCTCTCTCTCCCTCTCTCTCTGCCCCTTCCTGGCTCTCTCTCTCTCTCAAAATAAATACATTAAAAAAAAAAGATGCTCCAAAGTGTTAAATAAAAATAAATAATTATACTAGATGCCATTTACTGAGAGATAACAATGTGTTAGACACGGCAAAAGCTTACAAAACATCAGCCTTATGCTGAGTAAATAACTTACATACACTCTCACATCTAATTATATAATAATTCTGTAAAACATTTGACAGATAAGCAACGTAGGCTATCTGTCACTTGTTCAAGGTTATACACAAAGGAATGAACAAAGAGAAAAATGGTGGATGAACAGATGAATAAATGAATGGATGGATGGATGGATGGACAGATAAACACAGGATGATACAGAATTGCATGGATGAACACATCCTGCATCCTTTGGGTGATGCCCAAACCCCCGGATAGTGGATTTCTTCTTCTCCTCTCTCCTGCCCTTCTTGCTTCCATGCCCAGATGGCAGTTCCCAACGACCTACAGTTGGTGGCAAGGACCCCTCCCTGGGCTCTGCAACCACTCTAGAAACCAGACTAGCTCACTACCTTCCTGTCTTATTGGGCTTTTCTATTCTCTGCCCCTTGCCCTCCCCCTCTGTGAGCATTACTACCTCACCTTATCTCTAATGTTGGTGTCTGCTCCTCGGCTTTGCAGGAGTTTTACCACCTCCAAGCGGCCCCCACGGCAGGCCCAATGCATGGCTGTGCAGTCCAGCTAGAAGGGAAAAAGGGGGCTTCAGGGAAGAAAGGGCCCTAGGGGAAAGGACCCCAGCCAAGAAGGTGGGAGGAATCAAGGGAAAGAGGGCAGGGAAGGGGCTGGGATATGCCTGTGCCTGGGCTATGGACCAAGCAGAGCAGGAGAACCCTTGGGTCCAAGCCAGATTAACAAAGGATGGCACCAGGTCATTGCAATCCATGGCACCAGGTCATTGCAATCCACTAGACGTCAGGCCTGGCCCCTGAGGAAGCCTGAGTGTGTTCTAGGTTGGCTCAGGCTTACAGGGAGAAGGGGTCTGTTGGGGCTGGGCCTACCTCCTACCTCCCCCACCCAATACCTTCTCTCTTGCTCACCCGGTCCTGGAAGTCCACAGTAGCCCCACTCTCCAGAAGCTTCTCCAGGATCTCCATGTGGCCTTCCAGGGAAGCTCGATGCAGTGCTGTCCGGCGGAACTGTCCCCAGAGAGACCATCAGGGCCTGATCTCTGGCCCCAAGCTAAGACCCAGGACTTGACCCAGTTTGATTCTGATCCCTATGCTGGGTCCCCATATCTTCCATGTTCTGCCAGCTCCTTCATGTTCTATCCAGACCAGCCTTGGAGCCCTCTAATGCCCTGGGAACTCTGACCTTCTCAATGCACCCTCTTCCAAGCATGTCATGCTGGGCCTTCGCACAGACCGTTCCCTCTGCCAGGAATGCCTATTTTGCCCTCACTTCCTGAGTGTGCTTGATGAATTCTTGTTACTCCTTCAAGAGGCAAGGCAGCTTAAGTGCCACCATCTTGAAATCTCTGGACCAGAGCTGCCTCCGGGGGGCCCAGAGAGCCTTCCATGGGAGAGGGTGTTGTAAGGCAAGCCAAGCCTTACTCGACTCTGTTTCCCCTCAGTGCCTAGCCAGGGCCGGAATGGGCAGGTGCACACCAACAAGTGACCCAAGGAAGGAATGAGCTTCAGCATTGTGTTTTGGTCTTTTGAAACACTCAAGCCATGAGGCATATCTTTCCATAGTCTAAAGATCTGGCTATACACCAGTCTCCCTCTACCCTCAACCCTGGTCTTTTTTTTTTGTACCCCCAGCACCTGGCACCAGTGCTCAGGGACAGGAGGTGCTTGGATAGACCGAGAGGATTCAGATTCCAGAGTCTAAAGAATGGAAAGGCCATGCAGTCTAAGCCCACAATGGCACGGGAGTGAATATTAATTTGCTCAATCCTGGGATATGAGTGTGAAAGAGTACCATACCAAGTGTGAAAGAGGCAGTTTTCAGGGAAAACAAAACGAAGTGTGATGGGTGATGGAAATGTTTTGGAAAATCATTGTTACAGTTGCAAAACATGGTGGATATAATTAATGCCACTGAATTGTGCACTTAGAATGGCTAAAATGGCCATTTCATTTTATATGTATTCTACCACAATAAAATAAAAATAATTTTTAAAGGGAAGCACATTATATAATGCAACACAAAAATAATATCATATCCTAGCATGTGCTTTATAGTTTTTTCCTTCATTCAGTAATGACTTATCAAGGCACTAATATTCCATTTGATCCCCATGACATGCTCTGAGGGAAATAGGCCATTTTACAGGGAAGGAAACTGAGGCATGGAGAGGTAATGAAGGTCCCATAGCTAAGGACTGATACAGGTGGAATTTGAGCCTCAAATTCTTAGTTTTGGCTTTTTAGATTTAATTCTATTCCTCTTTCTTCCCTAAAGGACCACCTGACATTTGTTCCCCTGGAGGTGGTTCAAGTTGAAAAGGGCCTAAGGGTTTAGATAAATTCCTGTACAGGTGAGAGGATATCCCAAATCTTTTAAAGACCCCCCTCCTAAGGGACACCCAATGCCTGTTCTCAAACAGGTCCACAAATGGGTGAGATGGCGTGGCAGCTCTGAAAGGGAGGCAGGCACAGGTGCAAGTAGGAATATCACCTGATCACAGGTGTCTGGGGAACCCCCATCGGCCAGGAACTTCTCAATGACCTTCATTTTCCCCTCCACCGCCGCTTTCAGGAATGTCTCCTCGTCCACAGGTCCAGTCTGGAAGGCATGAATCTAGTCATGGAGGGCCGCCCTGCAGTGATCAGAGGTCCTCCTGCCCACCCCCACCCCTTCCCTGCCCACACAGGTGCCCCGCCCAGGACCCTTACGATCTCCTCAGGCTCCGGCGGTGGCTCCTGGGGTGCAGCCAGTGCTTCCCGTTTTTTCTGCTTGCGTTTTTTCCGCAGCTCAATGAGGTTCTGGATCCCACCCACGTCAATAATCTCCCGCCGAAGGTCTAGGGATGTCTTGCGCACACGCTCTTGACCCTGCATGGAGGGGGTTCATCAACCCCCACGCTTGGGGCTTGGGGACCCTGAGCTGAGCTGGGGGAGGAAGACATGGAGAGCTTCTCAAGAGAGAAAGAATCCAGGTCTAGCTCTCCTGCCCAGGACGTGGAAGAAGCAGATGAGACCGGGACATAGATGGCTCAGATCAGGGGACAAGGGGAGACTTAAAGGGACTTCAAGCTGTCAGCTTCAAGGCCTCACGTCGTTGAAGGGTAGGATGAAGGACTCTCAGAGGCAGTCCTTAGCTCAGGCCTTCAGAGCGGAGTCTGAATCCTCAGCTTACCGTGTAGTTTCATTTGTGTGTGTGTGTGTGTGTGTGTGTGTGTGTGTGATGATAAAAGTAATACATGATTAATATTAAAAATAAAACAAATACAGAAACATAAAAGGTAGGAAGAGAAAGCCCTTCTCTCCCAGAGGTAACTTCTAATATGACTTGGTCGATGTCCTTCAGACAAGCAGCCTATGGGATCATCCTCCACAATAGTGTTCGGGAAACTGGTGGTCTCTTACCATGTGGAGATCTCTCCAATCAGCACATGCAGTCTCCCTGAGCCCCTTAACACCTGCATGGTGGCCACTCAGTCACTTGGGGCTTCCAAAATAAATTCCCTGGGATCTTGTACACATGCAGATTCTGACTCAGCTGCTCTGGGGTGGGGCTGAGATTCTTCATAGCTAACACGCTCCCCGGAGGGCTGAGATGCTGGCTCACATACCACACCAGGAGGAGCAAAGCCACAGCTGCCCGTCCTGTCCCCTGAGTGCAGAGGTTGGGTTTTCCTCACACTTACCTTAACCTTTTGTAAGGCCGGACTCGGAGCTCCCTGGTGCTTCTCATCCTCCAACACCAGCATGTTCATGGGCAGCTTCTGCTGGGCGGTTCCTCGGAGTTTCTGGTGAGCCAAGGAGAGGACGAGCTCCAGGTCCTGCCCTCAGCAGCCAGGGAGGCGGGTAGCCTCCCCCTGACCCGTTCCAAGGGCACCCTCCGGACCGCCTCCTGTGTGACCCTAGATCCCTTCCATGACCCACTCCTGACTGGAGGGCCCCAGGCCAGAGCAAAGCTCCTCATAATTCCCCCACCTAACCCTGACCCCAACCTCAGCTCAAACGCCTGTCTACTGATGGTCGTGGATCCTCAGCAAAACAAGTTTAAGGACTACTGGATGAATTTTCATGAAATTAAATATATTCACTGAGGTGACGGTGATGATGGTGATTTTACTTTGTTGGCATTAAAAATTCACTTTGGGGGTGGCTGGCTGCCTCAGTAGCTTGAGTGTCTGACTTCAGCTCAGGTCGTGATCTCATGGTTCATGAGTTTGAGCCCCGCATGGGGCTCTTTGCTGGCCAGCACAGAGCCCACTTTGGATCCTCTGTACCCTTCTCTCTCTGCCCCTCCCCCACATGCACTAGATCTCTCTCTATCAAAAATAAACATTAAAAAATTAAAAATTCACATTGGTGAAATGACTGTGGTAAGAGTTGATAGTTATTTTTAAAATAGATTCACATATCAATAAAAAAATCTGGCCACTCTCTGTTAGATATCAACTTTTTTTCCCCCTCAGATCTTACCGCTTCATGACAACCCGGAGCTGGAAACCTGCTGCTGTCAAGGAATCTGAGGGATGGGTCCTGTATCTTCCCTTTTCACTAGCTTTCACTTTAAAGGGACTCTTAGCATTCACCTTATCCTCACTGTAATTAAACGGGTGAAACTCCTTCCAAGTCTCCTCACCATGTGTAGCTTTGACTTGGCCTGGGCCACTTCCTCATGGCCTCCTCCTGTTTTAACAGAAAGCAATTTTTGTGAAGTGCAGGCACCCCTGTGTCTGAAGGCCCCGTATGCCGGGCACATTCGCCCAGGTTGGAGGATGCCCAGACCCAATGGCAGCTGGGGCCGAATGGCCACCCTCCCAGAGCTCTCAGCTGCCCTTTGCATTTGCCACTGAGCTCTGGTATTATACTCCTCAAGAGCTCTTTTAAGGGCTGATTTCCTGCGTCTTCATTGGGGAGGTCCTATTGCCCACTGGCTTCTCCTCTCCGTGTTGGGTTTACATAGTTTGAGGCAGCGCCAGTGCTGGCCTCACCGGAAGCACTGCATCTTCTTCCAAGAGTGAGGGAGGACTTCGGGCTGCAGCTACTACTGGTAGACCCAATAGTAGCTGGGTCCCCAGCTACTGGACCCCACCCTCAAGAGGGTGGGCTTGGGTCTTAATCATCTTGGTAACCCTAGCCCCTGTGACACAGCCTGGCATACAGCAGGTACTTGGTGAATGTTGGATAAATGAATGAATGACTGAATGGATGATGACAGGTGGGCTCTCCTTCCCCTCCCATGCCAAGAAGGGGGTGCAGGCTGGACAGAGGCTTCCCCCTGAGAATCTTGCTGGGCTGGGGCCTGGTGGACACAACTATGGACTCTCATGCTCACCCTTGCCTTACCCAGACTCTATAGTCCCTTGCTTCAGATGTCTTTGTGGGCTGACATACAGTTAAGTGCTCAATAAATTTTTATTGAACCGGATGCTAGTTGGCGAAACACAACAAAACAAACTCCTACCTTACTTCATGGATGGTTATACAGATCACATGAAAGAATGCCTGCACAGTGCTCAGCACGGTGCCTGGCATATAGGAGGCACTTGGTAGGAAGTCTTGCCCAGCGTCCTGTCAGCCCTGCTGCTGTATTTGTAGGGCGAATGAATGGATGAGGGCTGCTCTGTGTCCCCTTGCCGAAGGTCTCCGTGTCCAGTGGCAGCACTCCAGAAATGGCCCAGCAGCATGACTCACCTGCCTGGCACTGGGGAGAAGCAGCATTCCTGGAGATCCAGGGGTGCCCCGGCCAGGACTCAGCAGCGGGCTCAGCCCAAGCTCTTCCCCAACAAACGTGCCACCCTTGCCCCTAGTCCTCATCTCTTCATGGGCAGAGTCCTGGTTCTTCCTGCTTCCTCACCCCCCTTCAGCCACTCCTGTCCTGAATGGAGCCTACCTCCAAACTGATTGATCTCCTCTCTCCCATTCCTTTTGGGGCCAGTCCTTCTCCTCCAACATGTCCTTCTCAGGCTGTCAGAACTGCCTTCCTCAAATAGGTCAGGTGGAGCCACTTGTCCCTCAGCAACACTCAGTGGCTCCCCACTGCCCAAAGAATATCTTTCCCATGGCCTCTCTGGTTTGTGTCCAGCCCTAGTCCCTACCTACTACCAGACTTTCTCAGGATGGTCCCACTGTCACTCACCTGAACTTTAGAGCCTGTCTTTTCCTAAGCCTGGAATTTCCTTCCCACCTGATCTCTGCTTATGAGCCTTGAAGGCTCCGCTCAAATGCTATCCTGCCCCTAAGAGTTCTTGAGCACCCATGGTCAGAACGACTCACCCACCTTTTGTGCTCTTTCGCTTATGACTGAACACCCCTATTTCACTGAGTCTTCACTCTCCCTGTTTCCTTCCTTTTCTTTCTTTTCTTTTCTTTTTTTTTTTTAAAGTAGGATACCTGCCCAGCGGGGAGGTCAACATAGGGCTTGAACTCACAACCCTGAAATCAAGACCTGAGCTGAGATCAAGTCGGATACCTAATCAACTGAGCCACCAGGTGCCCTAACTCTGCCTGTTCCTTAGTGGACTGTGCGCCTAATGGACGTTGGCTAAAATGAATGTGGGGTTGGTAAGGAGGCAAGGGCTGCCTCTTATTCCTCCCAGCACCGGGCAGACTCTTAAGTCAAGTGTTAGTTTAAATAGAATGAAGAGGAGACAAGCTTGCACCTTCCTCTCCAACCCCCCCACTTCTTTATCCCAGAGGAAATGTAATTGCCCAAAGCCGCATGCTCCAAAGGCCTCCCCAGGTGTGGCTGGTACTCCCGGGAAAACCCATGCTTCCTTCCCCAGCACCCCTTTCTCGCTCTGCTCCCAGTCTCTATTCTTCTGCAGGGACCAAACGCTGGATGGAGTTCCTCCCGTCCCAGGCTCCCACCCAGCAGCTGGGAGGTCTCAGGGCTCCATACTCCCACGTTCCCAGGCAGCATCTCAGCTGTCCTGCTCTGTGCAGCCTGGCCCGCCTCCTTGAGGCCCCGGTGGGTGGCAGGGTCTCGGGAATCCAGCGTGGCTCGCCCACCCCACTGTCTCTCAGTTCTTGGAGTTGAAGCCTCAGTCACCCATGCTAGCAATCACCTCCACCAGGAGCACCTGGGGCTGGAGTGGATCCACTGGGCCCCTGGGGACAGGGCCCCTCCTTCCCACCACAGATGTGGCGGCCAGGCTCTTACCTCCCTTGACGGTAGAGCTGGATCTCCCAGGAGCCCCCTTGGGGCCCCACACCCATGCCCATACCTCATTCTCTTCCTCCTGCGCCAGCCGCTCCTCGATAAGCGCTGTGGCCCTCTTCACCGCCTCAGAGCCCTCCTCAGAGCCCTGCATGGTGCTGTCTATAACCAGCCTCTGCAAGCTACAGGGCCTCAGGGGCTTTATAAGCCAGGTTCCCCACCCCCACCCCGCTGGGCGCCTTTGCCATGAGCTCACCGGCCCAATTCTCCACCTGCCTCCCCCACCTTTCACCTTCACCCTGGGCAGCCCCAGGGAGCTGGGGGAGGCAGGGACAGTTTGCCCCCCCATCCCCTTGCCTATTGGAGCTGAAGGGCCCAGCAACCCAAGAGCAGGGCTGCAGGAAGGAGCCTGCCCAGCCTCTGTCCTGAGTGCTTGGGTAGAGCTGGGCCTTAGCCAGGACAGCTGGGAGGCACGTAGGACCCACTGGCTGCCCCTAACCCTGATGGCAGTGCCACCTGCTGGATGCCTGGGAAGTGCCCAGCCAGTACCAGTGAGGACAGCTGACAGCCCACGGTGCGGACCAATACAGGCCTGTGTCCCCAGCTGTCCTGTGAACAGGCCCTGCTTGCCCTGGGGTGGGGGCAAACTCCGCTACATCTGGGCTGGAGTGTCAAGGTGAAGGGCAGGAGTAAGAGCTGATGCCTCCGTCTTTGCCTGCAGCTCAAGCAGGCCTTTGTCTCTCTGGGGTCCCACAGCGCCCCCTAGCGAGACATCACTGTACGTGGCTGCACGTCCATTTGCTTCTGACAAACCTTGACCCATCTGTCCATCGTCTCAGGAGGCCTCTGCAGAACTTAAAAAGTCTTGCTTCAAGAAGGTCTCAGGAAGCCACGTTAAAAGGGCCAGAGTACAGTGCCAAGCCCAGTAGACGAGGACACCATTTCCTCCTGATCATCCTTTCCTCCCAGTTTTGTCAGGCCACCCTGAGGTCCAGCCATGCTCTCTGAGCAGGAAAATACTCTCAGTGGAGAAAAAGCAGACCTGAACTTGCTCAGCTCCACACCTCGAACTGTGGAAGTGAGCCCCAGGTGATCCCGACCCAGGTTTAATCTGCTGGTGAGCCACAGACGCCACAGCTCTGTGGTTCTGTCACGCTCACTCAGCCTGCCCTTGGCTAAGCCACCTTATCAAAGGTCCCCCTCCGACTAGACGCACACCTTTCCTGAAGGAAGGACCGGCACTGGCTGCCTCTCCTCTCTCGTTCCCTTGCTGGCAAACTGACACATGCTCATAACCTAAATTAGTCAGAGACTTGGCCTTCACATCACGGAGGGCGTAGTGCGGCAGCCCCAGGATTTTCGGGTGCACCTCAGTCCTGGGGCGTGGGCTGAGGGGCTGCAGCAGGCAGCCAGCACCCTTGTGCCACAGGAGCAGGCCCGTGGACTACTAACGCCACCTTCCTGAGGTGCTGCCTCTGCTTCCAAAGCACTTTCACATCTGTCATCCCATTTCATCCTCCCAGCAACTGCAGGAAGAGGTGAGGCCGGCGGCTTCGACTCTACTTTATTATTATTATTTTTTTTAATGTTTTATTTATTTCTAGGAGAGAGAGAGAGAGACAGCGTCAGCAGGGTAGGGTCAGAGAGAGAGGGAGTCAACAGACTCTGAAACAGGCTCCAGGCTCTGAGCTGGCAGTCAGCACAGAGCCCGACGCGGGGCTCGAACCCACGAACCGCGAGATCATGACCTAAGCGTAAGTCGGACGCTTAACCGACTAAGCCACCCAGGCGCCCCTCGACTCTACTTTAAAGATAAGCCGGGGCGCCTGGGTGGCTCAGTTGGTTAGGCATCCAACTTTGGCTCAGGTCATGATCTCGTGGTCCGTGGGTTCTAGCCCTGCATCGGGTTTTGTGCAGGCAGCTCAGAGCCTGGAGCCTGTTTCAGATTCTGTGTCTCCCTCTCTCTCTGCCCCTCCCCCGCTCGTGTTCTGTCTCAAAAATAAATAAAAACTATAAAAAAATATATTTAAAAATTTTTTTAAAAAGATAAGCAAGGTGGGCTCAGCCGTGAAGTGGTTTTTCCTAAGGACCCGTGAGGACACAGGGCCTGGAACACAAATAATTCAAGGCTCCCTGCACTCTCTGCCGCGGACAGAGCAGCTGGGGAGGCCTCGCACCCACCTGCTCCCACACAGAACTGGCTCTGGGGTTCCACAGAGCTGCCGGAGAACCCAAAGTCAAAGCTAGGCAAGAGAGAAGGAAGGAGCAAAAGGCTTTATTGATAAATACGCAGATATGTCTGTACACAGGGGCCTGTTGTGGGCCATGACCAGGCTGCAGACCCCCCACCGCTTGGGTTACAGCCAGGAGATGGCCCTGTGCAGACCCCTGCCACAACAGCACAGCCCTCCGGCCACCCGCCCGCCCCATCTCTGCCAATTGTGCTGGGGGGCAGGGAGAGGCAGAGGCCGGCCTCAGGCTCCCTGCCCCTGGGGCTCGTGAGCCATCCCCTCCCTGCCAGGGGATTGGCATTGGGCCCAGGGCAGAGTCAGGGAGTGGGGGCAGGGGAAGGGGACAGCAGCTGCTTCAGACCCTGAGCAGAAAACCGGAGTGAGCACAGCCGGCAGCACCAGATGACAGATCTGGGCTCCAGGGGCCTCCGGGCCGGCCCTCGTGGCTCGAACCCGCTGCGGGAGAGAGGCAGGGTGGAATGCCCCGGTTCGCCTTTTCTCTGACAAGGTTGGCAAAGCCTGGGTGCGGCAGCACTGCTTCCTGGGGGTGGGGCACTGGTGGCCCACGGTGCCCCTGGGAGGCAGGGTCCCTTCACGGCTTGCCCAGCAGCCACACGGTGGGAGGTGCCCTTGAAGAAAGGAGGCAGCAGCAGGGTGGGGTGGGGCCTAACGCTCAGGCCCGAGGCCTCTCAGCCCCGCGGAGGCCCCCTCGGCCTCTCCTCCCAGGGTCTGTGGGCTCATCAGTCCTGGGGTGGTGGGGGCTGGTTGATGATGACCTGGATGACAAAATCCTTCTGGATCTTGGTTTCCTGGAGTCGCGTGCGGTCTGTAAGCAGCTTCCCAGAGAAGAACCACCGTTGCCGGGACGGCTCGATGCCCTCCTGGGCGTGCAGCTGCCTCTTGAGCTGCCCCACCGTGTCGGGCAGGCTGGCGCTGAGCCTCACGTCCTTGCCTGTGGAGAGGCGCACCTTTAGGGGGAACTCGCGGCGCACGCCGGGCGTGGGCTCGGGGGGCTCCAGGCTCTCCTCCTCAGTGTGCTCGAGCAGCAGGTTCACAGGTGGCGACAGGCAGTAGATGGGCAGCTGATAGCGATTGCCCAGCTCGTCGTAGCATTCACAGAGGGTGCCTGTGGGGCAGGCAGGGCGGTCAGAGTCGGCTGGGGACCCCCAAATTCCCGTGCCAAAGCCCTAACCCCCAATGCCACTGTATTTGAAGATGGGAGTAATTAAGGTTAAATGAAGTCATACAGTGGTGCACCAATCTAAAAGGACTCGTGTGTTTCTAAGAGACACCCAGGCTTGCTCTCTCCCCACCGTGTGAGGACACAGCAAGCAGGCGGCCATCTACAAGCCAAGAAGAAGGCCCTCCCCAAAACTCAAATCAGCGGGCACCTAGGTCTTGGGCTTCTCAGCTTCCAGAACTGTGAGAAATAAAGTTCTGTTGTTTAATAAGCTATCCAGTCTGTGGTATTTTGTTACAGCAGCCTGAGCACACTAATACACCCACCCTGGCCACCCCATGGTCCCCGAGCCCCCCCTACAGCCAGGTGTCCCTTGGACATACAGCTGGGAGGAGTTCAAGGTGGACTCAGGAAGATGTGGGCTGGCATTCCGGCTCTCCCCGGTACTAACTTGTTCACTTCCGGCACACTACGTAACTTTCCATTTGCTCATTCAACAACTCTTTCCTAAGTGTATGTGCTGGGTGCACGTATTCCAGGGGGGATGAGAAAGTGCAGGTCTGCCCCGCATGGTGTATACCTTGGTGGGCCCTAGTTTCTTTCCTGTACTACGCACGGCACGGAGTAATAGATTTACTGTGCCTTGAGCCCCTAATGAGTGCTGGGACTGGACTGAAGGATGCTCTGCATATCTTGCTGGGTTCTAATGAGCATCCTGTCAGGTGGATATCCCCACTTTATAGTTACAAGCTCCTGAGACTTTAAAGCTGAGAAGCTCCCTGCTCAGGGATACACTACTAGAAACAGAGACAATTGTTAAAACGCAGGCCTGTGACTCTAGAATTCCTCATTACCCTCTGCTTTACATGGCCCCATAAGACTGTTATGAACTTAAATGAGATAATACAGTAGAAGTTTCTCACTCAGTACCGAGCATATAGTAACGCCCAACACAGAAGGTTGGTACCTCAGATGTTCAGCGACCCCAAAGTACCTGAGCGACTCTAGCTTGCTCTCGTCACACTGCTTGAGGCTTATTGGTGCCTTTCTATCTCTTCATTGGACAAACAAGGACTGTGTCTCATTTTTCCTTGTGTCCCCACTCCTGGCCCCTGATCAGCAAGGGCTGCCTGAATGAACCAAAGCAAAGAGCCACCTAGAAGCTCCCGACGTGTGTCTGGCCACTGGCTCTCCTCCACACTGAGCAGCTTGGTGGCCCCACTTGAGCGGGGATAAAGCCGGCCCTGCTCGCTCACCATGAGGCAGGGTGATGCTGGCTCCGTCCAGGATGGCCTGAGCCAGCTCATGGTCATTGGCCTCGGCTGCATAGGCGGCGGCCTTGAGGGCGTCCCAGATCTCCTTGCGGCCCTCGAAGGCAGGTGCTGTGTCCCAGAACTCGTCCCGTTTGCTCCGCAGCTGCCCGTCGGTCATGGGGTAGTCACTCTTCCACTTCAGCCGCTCCTTCTTCAGGGGCTCGTTGCGCCCTGGGCAGGACAGAAGGGACAGGTTGAGCACCTCTGAGGCCAGGCTGCAGCCGGCCCTCTCTCCCGCCCCTCACCTGCCAGCAATCTCCCAACCCTCCCCAGCAGCGGCTCCTGAGTATTCACGTGTTCTTTCCCAGCATCAGGGAAGAGTCTGGAAACTGCACACACCCAACCTGGGGACGTAAACTATTTTTGTCAGCAGAGCATATAGTGCCTGCTGGTGTTTTCTGTAACTGTACTCTTTGATTACAAAAAAGTCCATGTTCGGAATTTTAGAAAATCTGTATGTAAAGAGGGGTGCTTGGGTGGCTCAGTCAATTTATCGTCCGACTTCGGCTCAGGTCATGATCTCACAGTCTGTGGGTTCA